AAACCCCAAACCCTAAGCTCGAAACCTCCCACATCCCGTCGTGACTGCCTTCTAGCCCTCACAATCTGGATCCTGATTCTGGCAGGGTTTTGGGGTTAGGGTCGAAGGGTTCAGGGCTTTAGGGTCGTAGGTCTTAGGGCTTTAGGGGTTTAGGGCTTTAGGGCTTTAGGGCTTTAGGGTTTTAGGGTTCAGGGCTTAGGGCTGATGTCTTTGAAGACTTCCTCCAAAGGTAAAGCTCATGCTTGTGCTTCGGTAGGGCTGAATGTTTAAGCTGAAGGCTTTCATCCCAAGATACAAGGACTACGGTTGACGATATAAATGCTACATTACCCATAATGAGGAATATACCGTAATTCCCTTAGTTTAGGGCCCTTAAGGTAATGCAGGACTTATACTTGGAGGTTCATGGGTAGTTATAAGTGGGGTTATAAGTCACCTAACTATACTTATAACCCTACTTAGGGGACTTATAACCCCACTTATAACTACCCATGAACCTCCAAGTACCATCAACAGTACTTGCACAGGGGGCTTTCGAACTTCCGAGCAGAGGCGTGAAGGGCAGAAGGTAAAGCTGAGGGGGTAGGGTTTGGGCTTTAGGCTGTTGGGGTTTAAGGGTTTTGGGGCTTTAGGCTTTTGGGATCTGGGGTTTTGAAGGTTTAGGGCTTAGGATTTCGGGGTTTTGGTTGGGGTTTTGTGCTTACGGGGTTTTTAGGGGGTTGGGGCTTTGGGGTTTTGTGCTTAAGGGTTTTAGGGCTTGGGGCTTAGGGTTCAGGAGAGGGTCTGAAGCTAAACTTCGAGCGGCTGCAGAAGAAGCCAGCAAGACAAACTGTAATGACAACCCTAAACCCTAAACCCTAAACCCCTAACCCCTAAACCCTGAACCACCGTAGGGGCCTACTGAGGGCTTCAAGTTTCCCCTAAACCCCAAACCCCCCCCCCCCCCAAACACCTAAACCCCTAAATCCAAAACTCTAAACTTAAAACCCCACATCCGCTGTGCCTTCCGTCAGCATGGTGAATGATCTTCTAGAGCGCGTACTTGGGTCATACTTTGCTGAAGAAAATGGCTTTGGGCATATATTGGCTAAAGACAGCTTCCGGTCTATAATGCTGCCACGATAGAGGGGGGTAATTACGATAGAAGAAAACTTCGACCAGGCTACTTGCCAGTCAGGAACTTCTTGTCAAACACTAAACCCTAAACCCCAAACCACGAACCCTAAACCCTAAACCCCAAACCCACTAAGCCTGAATCCCCGCTACTGACACCCCGCCCCTTCTTGTCATCTGCCTTCTTCGCTGCAGCCTTCGTCTTCGCCTGAAACGGCGGGGTCAACGATTAGGGCTCACTCATAGGGGATGTGGGGGGTTTAGGGTTTAGGGTTTGGGGGGTTTAGGGGTTTAGGGGTTTTAGGGTTTAGGGTTCAGGGTCACGCTTCGCTCACCACTAATCGGGGATTATCCCACATGAGAACATAAATACTGATGATGATCGTGCTATCATGAGTCATGAGCAAAAAGACTCCCTAAACCCGAGGCCCTAGACCCTTTATTCTGGAGCGTATCTCAACCCTCCAAAGCTTAAATCCTGAAGCCTGAAGCCTACTTGGAGGTTCATGGGTAGTTGTAAGTGGGGTTATTAGTAGGATAACTATACTTATAACCCATATTATAAGGGGACTTATAACCCTACGTATAACTACCCATGAACCTCCCAGTAGACCCAGAGAGCCCAATACCACTACTTGAAAGTTTAGGGCTTTAGGGCTTACAGGGCTTTAGGGCTTTAGGGTTTAGGGCTTTGGGGTATTAGGGTTTTGAAGGGTTTAGGGTTTAACTGACGTCCCCGACCTGAGCTTTCTTCGGCGGCATCGCGCGGAGTCTGAACTTGAGTCAGGCAGAAAAGCTAAGAACCCTACGGAACCCGGCCCCTCCAAAAGCTCCGACCTAAACCGTAAGGGTTTTTTTAATGGTTTAGGGTTTAAAATTTGGGGAGTAGAACTCCATGACTTCAAGAGCTCAAGCGGCTTGTTGATTTAAAGCAGCAGTTTCGGTAAGCTCGCAAGCCCTAAGCCATAAACCCTGAAGCGTAAACTCTGCACATGAGAAGCTCATGACGTGAACTTTGGGCACAGACGCATCGGCCGAGACCAAGAGCAAAGCGTGGCAAATCACAAACGAACCAACCAAAAACCCTGAACACACGGTTTAGGGTTTACAGTAGGGTTTAGGGTTTAGGGCCCAAATAAGGTTGTAAGAACCCTGAACACACCCTGATACAGTCTCATAAAGCACCTATAACCCCAAGGGTCCCTTTAAGGGTCTCTCCTTTAGTCCCTTGAAATAAAGTTGTACGAACCCTGAACCCTCTGAACCCAAAACCCGATGAACCCCTTATATACCCCTGATATAGTCTCATAAAGCCCCTATATAACCCCAAGGGTCCCTTTAAGGGTAGATCCTTTAGTCCCTTGAAATGAAGTTGTACGAACCCTGAACCTTCTGAACCCCAAAACCCTATGAACCCCAAACCCTGCAAGCCAAGCCTAGCCCGGATCTCGCTTGGATCTGAAACGCTGTCAGCAAGAAAGGGTTTTATGGTTTAGGGCTTTTGGGGCTTCAGGAGTTCAGGAGTTTAGGAGTTTAGGGGTTTTGGGGTTTTGGGTTTTTTGGTCTTAGGGTTTGAGGTTGAGGGATATTCCCCCACCCAGCGCTTGCCAAAGCGCGGGCATCTTGCATTCTGGAAGTCTTGGCATGTTAGCCAAGCCCTAGATAACTCTAGCCCGAACCTGAAGCCTTAGACCCTAAGCCCTGAGCCTTTGAACCCTAAACCCGAAACCCTGAGCCTCTAAGCCCGAAGCCCTCGACCGGAAACCCGAAAGTGCTCCTTTTTTGCCAGTCCACCCGGCCGCACAACCTCTCAGACTGCAGGTTCTGCAGTGGAGAAACAGTATCGCAACCTTGAACCAGAGTAACGCTTTTTTATGCCCCGGCTTTCGGCTTCAAAGGCTCCGGGTTTAGGGTTTAGGGTTCAAAGGCTCCGGGTTTAGGGTTGAGGGTTCAAAGGCTCAGAGTTTAGGGTTTAGGGTTCAAAGGCTCCGGGTTTAGGGTTGAGGGTTCAAAGGCTTCAGGTTCAGGGTTTCTGCGCCACATCTGCGACCTGGTCGGGATCCCTAAAGCCTAACCCTAAACCTCGAGATCGACGAAGGCAGCTCCGATCCGTCCTTCGGCCTACTCCGAATCCTTCTTCTTCGGCTCCTTCTTCTCTTCAGGTACCTGGGACGCCTGCACTTTAGGGTTCAGGGTGTAGGGTTTAGGGTTCAGGGCTTAGGGTTTAGAGTTTAGGGTTTAGGGCTTAGGCTTTAGGGTTTAGGGTTTAGGGACGCCTGCACCGAAACCCTGAACCCTAAACCCAAAACCCACAAAACCAAAGAAGCTGGCAATCCAACAGGTGACGACCATGCCCTGGGCCCCACACCCTAACCCCCGAAACCCCGAAACCCTGAGTGAAGCCTAAAACCCTAAACCCTAAAACCCTAAACCCTGAAAACTAAACCTGAATGAGCTTAATTCAGGAATATAGGCGTAATTCATAAAAAGGATCCGACGATGCCTCAAAGTCGATTCCTTAACTAAGGGATTTTGAATCCGCGCCTTCTGCTCCGCAGTTGCTAAGGTCGAGGCCCAGATGCCAACTTCACGGGTAAGTGCATCCTTTTGCTTAGGGTTTAGGATTTCGGGTTTAGGGTTTAGGGCTTAGTAATAAGGCGTGTTTAAGGAAGTATAGTCTCCTACTTGGAGGTTCATGGGTAGTTATAAGTAGCAGGGTTTAGGGTTTCGGGTTTAGGGGAAACGTACTTGGAGGTTCATGGGTAGTTATAAGTGGGGTTATAAGTCCCCTGATATGGGTTATAAGCATAGTTACCCTACCTACCTCTAACCCCACTTAGAACCACCCATGAACCTCCAAGTAGACCCTAAACCCTAAACCCTCAACCCTAAACCGAAAAGGAGTGAATAACGGGGGCAATCCCTGAAAGGCTCTCGGGTTTCCTTTTGGAGTTGAGGGGTTTTTGTAAGGGGTTTTGAGGTGTTGAGGCGTAGGGGTTTAGGGGTGGTTCAAGGTGTGGGGCTTTAGGGTTGAGGGCTTTTTGAGGGTCTTGGGGGGGTTTGGGGGGGGGCTTTGGGGTTTAGGGGTTTAGGGACTTAAGGCTTTAGGGTGCCCATGGGGGTCCGCAGGCTGCGGTTCGGGAGTTTAGGGTTGATGGCCGTTGTTTCATGTCGTTCCTAACCTCTGAAGAAAACCGCAACAAAATCGGATGCCCTTTGAGTTTAGGGTTTAGGGTTGAGGCTCTAGGCTTTAGGCTCTAGGGTTTAGGGTTTAGGGTTTGCTCTTTGAGGTGAAACTCTTCGACGCTCTCCACCAGGCGGTTGATGCACAGAGGCGAGGCCCGCTCCACCTCCGTCAGGCTGACCCACCAGGACTGAAGGCCTTTGAGAGCTTGCACTGCCTCCGTATATCTCCGCAACTTCCTCTCTTCTTCAACAACTCTGGCCCCAAAAAAAGTTCTCAAACATTTTAGTAGAGACCTAATATATAAGGCCAACAAGCTTAAAGTTCTCCCATTGGCTATCTAAGCTTCTGGTCCAGCCCTGCAAACTCTTGCCAGGCGCACAGGGAACTGTAGAAGCTAGCGACCAGGGGCATCCAGGTACCCTGCTTGAAGTGACTCAATATCGACGAGCATAGTGAGCAAGCAATGATGCACAGCTGCAGCAATCGGCGTCTGCGGGCCATCCACGGGATTCTTGCCTGGTAGAAGTCTATGGCAGGCTGCAGCCTGAAGAGGACGTACTTGGCTGGTGGAACTGGTGTGTAAAAGTCGTCATCGTCAGCATCCGCACTAGCAGGACCCTTTGAAGTGAGCGCACGGAGGTGCTTGTAAACCCACTCCGGGTAGGCTTTCTCCATGGTGCTCTCCAGCAGGTTTGTCCCCTCTGCTAACTCGGCCTTCCACTGAAGGAAACGCTGGCAAAAAGCTTGCCGAGGCTTCTGCCCAGGCTGCCAGGTGCTAAACTCTTTTGTGCCTGGGTGGCGGCTGCGGGGCCATTTAACATACTTAATGAACAGGTACCCTAAACCCTAAACCCCAAACCCTGAACCGCTTCCTAGGTGCGAGTTCTGTAGCGCCAGATGGTGCTCAGAAGAAATGCAGACTTGCTTCGAAGCACCCTCCACCGCTGAGTTGGGTTCATGATCCTAGGTCCCGTAGGGTCAGAAGTCGTGAAGTCAGCACCCAAACTACAAACAAATACACAACATGACTTTGAAAAACCGCTCTAAACAAACTACTCCCAAAAAAATGGGCACAGGGTTCGTAGTCACAGTGGTAGCTGCGCCCACCAGAAGCGTTACAATGAAGACGATCCCCTGCTCATCAACCTGAACTTCAAGGAACCACTCCTGGGGAAGAACCGTGAGCGCGACGGTGAGAGCACTGAGGAGCAGAAGGCCAACATAGCTCAACTTGCTGTAGACCTTGTAGACTCCCGCCAGGTAGTTCTTCGCATCATACTCACACCATGCCTGCTCCAGTAAATCGATGCCCTCGGGCTCCTCCTGCTTCGGCAGCCGATCTAGACGAACCAACTCTCTAACAAGCTGCCAGATGCCATCAATGTCAAAAGCATCTGCAACATGCAGATGCTCGTTCTTTACCACAGCCGACATCTGCAACGCACGCTGATGCTGCCGGTCCACACTCTGCCACTCGGAGCTCCCAAGGGCCCTGTCCTGTGCCTCGGTGAACAAGCGGCTGTACCAACGGTTTAGAGGTTTAGGGTTTAGGATTCAGGGTTTAGGGTTTAGGGTTTAGGGTTCAGGGTTTAGGGTTTAGGGTCTGGGCCTCGGTGAACAGGCGGCTGTACCACTGCAGCAGCTCCGCGAGTTGGTTGCGGAAGGGGGCTTCAGCCATCACAGCAAGCATGCTCAAGTCTTCTGCAGATTGTCGGGTTTTGCGAGCGCCCGAAGGCACGTGTTGCTCCACCAGCTTCTGCTCCAGTGCTTTCCGAGAATTCTCCCAGGCCCGCAGGATCAAGCAGATAACCATGCAATCAAGATAGTCCCAACGCCCGCCTATGGTGTCTAAGAATTCCTGGTACGTTTGTTGGACATCTGGCAGCATCAGACTTGACGGCCACTGGCGCAGGTTTACCATTATGGTCGGGCAGCCGCTTTCAAGGCACGCAACGATGTTCCCGAGTGACACCTCATCACCTTCAACAAGGTCCGTGTGACCAGTTCTGATGGCAATGCAAGGCACCTGCTGCATCAAGTGCTGGAGAAGGGCAGAGTTGAAAGCTGTAAACGGATTGAAATCCATTCGGCCATCATGTTCGTTGACTCCGTCGCACACGATGTATTGAGAGAAGGCGTCGCTCATGTCGTATGCGATCGAGTCTCTGCCCCCATGCCGCTTGAAGAAGTCTTGCAGCACACCTCGGTGCCTCCGCCGCCAGCTGCTGACGACTTTTGCAAAGTCCCTCCATTTCGCTGAAGGGTTCTCATTGTTGTAAAGTTTGTCAAAGTCAGAAGTCAAGGCCGTGACAGCAAAGGGGGGTCGCTCACCAAATCGATTGCGATGAAGGTCCAGAGCCTGTCCAAGAGCCGATGTCAACATGCAGCTTCCCACGGTGGCCTGCACAAGGATTAACGCGTTCGTCTCAGCTGCAAGTGGCAGCAGGACTTCCTCCATAAAGTGGTACAAATTCCGCTCGGCTTGCAAAGCTTCCTCTTCACCACCGGGATACGGATATTGCAAATTGATGCCGGCCCGAATCCGAGATCTTGTCCAGTCAACACCGCCGGTGGACTGTATGAGCCTGATTACCAGCTTGGGCGTTGGTATTTCAAAGGCTTCGAAAACACGCTTCATAGAGCCGGGTGTGTGGGCCAACAGTCGTGCTTGCTTGTTCGAAAGTACAAGACTTTGTGCCGGGAGCCAGAGCCCAGCGTTATATCTTCCACCATCCGGTACATGGTCTTTGCTTTGATTTCCTGCAGATCAGCCTCAGTTTCTAAATCCGATGCCACCGACTGCCTCGCATCAAATTCGCCTCAGTGCTCTTTTCGCGATCAATGCAAGGTAATCGTAAAAACCAAACTGCGGCCTGTGATAGGACCTCATAATACTCCCTTAACAAGATCTTCAACCGAAGCTTTACATCTCGGAACCCAAACTCACAACTGTTTTATATTTATGGTAGCTTACAAAAGAGCACGCAACCCTAAAAACCCTAAACCCTAAACCGCAGCACTAAGACGGTGGCTCTCAAAACGCGCGTCTCGACGGAGACCCTCACACGAGCAGGACTCCATGGACACAGCGTTCGTAGTATCAGCTCCACCTGTGCCGGATAGTTCAAAATCTAGGGGGTGATGGAGTTATGGCTCTAAGGCTTCACGCCTTAGGGTCTGTGTTTTCGGCTGCAAGGCTTACGGTTTGCCTTTCGGGTCGACATACCCAACGTTGTTACTATCATATGGACCCTTACGGGAGGCGGGTAGGCCTCAAATAAGCCTTATTCGGCCAGAAAATGCAGGTATCAAGGCCCCCCTACCCCCCTCCCCTCTACACCCCCCCCAAGGGTCCGCATGGTACTACTTCAATGCCATTTAAGGGGATCCAGTGTCTAGGGGGTGTAAGGTTTAGGGTCTAGGGTTCGTCGCATGACAAGACTCTAACATTTACTCTAACTACATCTTCGTCCCCGAATTTTGTTTCTGCTTGATAAAAAAGGAGGCTTAGTGAGTAGAATAATACTCTCACTACTAATTGCAATCAGGAACCCTAAGCAATTGTAGTTCCCAGAGAGCCCGATACCCCTCAATTAAACAATATAGCTTAAATCATAATGTGAAGCCCCCTTATAATTTAAGGTATATTCCTTAATTAACAGGTATTGGCCCCTAAACTGTAGTTCTAATCATTCCAACCCCTGTCTTCAATTACCCGCGGCTTTCAGTTGTCGCGGCCATTGAAACCCGGCTCTTGGAAACTTGGGTGTGGGGTTTAGGGTTTAGGGCTTGGGGTACTAGGGTTTAGAGCCAAAGCGGTTTAACGTCGGGGTTTAAGGGATTTTCTAGGTGGTTCATTTGGGGCTTTACTGCTGGGATGTATAGGGGTGTTATAGGTTTTTTGTAAAGATTTGACGGTTCTATGGGGCTTCATCAACGACTCATTCCCTTCACCCACTGAATCCTACCGCATGCTCGGGGTTTGCATGGACGTAGCAGTAGCAACGGTTTAGGGTTTAGGCTTTAGGGTTTAGGGGTTTAGGGTTTAGGGTTGAGGGCTGCTTGCGATGCCCTGGCGGTAGGCAAGCCTCATTTGCACAAGTGCTTCAGCCCAAATCGCCATGTCATCAACCACACGGACTACCATCATTCCAACCTGCCTGAACAAGTATGTTAAAAAAACTTGACCAAGAAACTGCGGGTGGTGACCCTGCAGCCCACCTTACTCCTTCAGTATCCCGGGAAAAAATTAAAGTAACCTTGGCAATCGACACTGTAGTCGACAACTCACGCAAGCCGCATGTGGATGCACACGCCCCTGAACAAGTGTCCGAAAAGACACTCAAGGAGCAGTGGCAGCAACCCACAAACGAGAACGACAAACCATGCACACCTACGCCACCGTACGGCACGACACGTTAGACCTTTGGGGTTATATAGAGCAATGCACACCATGGAGCTGCAACTTAAGACTTGTCTCTCAGCAAATTCGCTTATGCCGCTATTGCACAGGTCTGATTCATTGCGACATGTCCTCGCAGAGAGTTCCCACACAATTATGTGGACTATACCAACAACTCTATACTACCTAACTATTATCGTCCGAGCTGTACCCCTAAACCCTAAACCCCTATACCCTAAACCCTAAACCCCTAAACCTTAAACCCCTGAACCCTAAACCCATGAACCCTAAACCCATACAACCCAACTAAATCCTGTCAAGCGAAATACCAGTCGTGACCACCATTCTGGCAACGACCCGCGTGGGTGAAGAAAGCCAAAGCTGTGTGAAACGTACTGTCAGGCTTCTATACTTGGAGGATCATGGGACTTAGTAAGAAAGGTGATACGTAAGCGTAGATATCATGACATTATTTGTACAGTAACTCTAGTTCCTAAGTCCCATGCTCCTTTAGGCCTTACACCCTATCGATCTCTTCAAGGAACCCCTTTGAGATTTTAGGGTTTAGGCTTCAAAGGCTCCCTTTAAGGAGCCCTTTCAGGAAGCCTTTCAGGAACCCTGTCAAGGAACCCTGTCAAGGAACCCCCTTTGAGGAATCCTTTCAGGAACCCTAGAAGGAAGCCTACAGTCTACACCCTAAACCCTACACCCGAAACCCTAAACCATAAGCCAATCTATGAGGGTTACACGTGCCTGGGTGCTCGTGTCCGGGTGCTGCGACTTCTGCGGGAGCCTTGCAACCGTGGTTACCGGTCCAGGGTTCAAGTTTTAGGGTTTAGGGTTCAGGGTTTAGGGTTTAGGGTTCAGGGTTTAGGGTTTGGTTGGGGTTCAGGGTTTAGGGTTCAGGATGGTTCAGGGTTTAGGGTTTAGGGTTCAGGATTCATGGTCTAGGGTTAAGGGCTGAAAGTTAAAAACTCAAGGTCTTTGAGTTTAGAGATCAAGGTTCGGAGCGGAGGGTCTAAGGTCTAAGACTTACGATTTGGGGGTCTGGGTGGGGAGTCACCAAGCGGCTACACCACGCAGGGAATCGCTAAACCCTCAACCCGTGATGGCTTTGGGTTAGGGATTGGGGTGATGACAACCGCATGAGATGCGATTGAATTTTTCACTTGGTGGTTTAAAAATGTAGTAGTGGGGTAGTGTCGTAGCGACGTAGCGAACTGTAGTCGTATTGTCCTGCAGTAGCACATTAGTACGTATCGTAGTCTCGTCCAGACATGACCGATGCTATAGTGGTATTTTGGGACGGAAATGGCAGCCTGTTTCAGTGTTTCAAACTGCTTGCAGACCACACTGCGTTAATGGAAACGAAACACATACACAGAAATGAACTTGACTGGGCAAATGAGCTGCAGACTATGACCGCAAGACACAAGTACTGTCAATTTCGATCAATAAATCTAATGCCACCACTGCAAGCACTGTCATGCTCCGTGCTGCTGGGAGCCGGACCGCAGGTGGAAGCATGCTCTTCTTCATTTTTCTTCTACCCTGCATTTGTCTGGTCTTGCTGTTCGTTTTTCCACATGACACATAATCATCATATCTGTGAGAAAAGCCCAGCTGCATCAGAATGTAGCGTGGTACGGGTTGGTAAAAAGGCCGTCCCTCCAAAAAAGCTTGGGGGGTAAGCTTGCTCACGTACCGAAACCTATCAACTTGGGCCGCAAGAGCATGATGACATGGACGCATACTGTGTCGGGTTATGCAAATGCCAACCGGTCACAAAGATGACTTTCGCTGTCCAGAACTTCGTGACATTTACAATCTACAATGTACAGAAAAGAGTTTGAGCGATGTATTTGTCCATTCACGTTGGTACTTCTGTCGTTTCAACTCCCCGACGCATCTTCGGGGTCTCAAAACCTGTTGCAGCAAGCCAAATGTCCCTCCAAGGGTGTCTCCACAAAACCAATGTCTTCTCCATATCGACGTCATCGTCGTCGGCAACATCCGCCGCCGTTGTCCTCCCGGTGGCATTTGGTGTGGCATCGCAACGGACCTGTCGGCGAACCGCTACGAGTGCTTACTGCATGCACCTCTCGCACCCAGAGCTTCCAAAAGTGCTTAAATTGTTTTAAGTATTGTTGTGGCATAAAGATTACGCATTATATATAATGGTTATTTATGCATAAACAGCAACAATGCGAAAAAAACAAAAACATTGCAAAAATAAAATCAACATGCATGCATGGAATGGCCACAACATCGCGGTTCTTCATGCATTCCTAGAAACTTCGATCATGCGGGAGCCAAAATTCTGAGCACGGGACATTTGCTTTTATAACTTTACACAGAAGTTTGGCCAAGAGCTTTCGGTGGCACTGCTAAACACGGGCAGCAACTGCAAATGCACGCAACCAAAGAAAGCCGTTTTTGCGACACCAAGCCTTTATTGATCGTAGCCGCACTCGAATTCCAGATGCCACAAACGGTCGTATTTTTGGAGCTTCTTCAAAAACAAAAACGGAACAAGGAACTCGGTGCAAGCAGTAGCCGGTCTCTTTGGCGACCGACCACATTTCTGAGACCTTGCTTGGCTTGCAACCAAGCAGCTCTGGCCCAGCAAGCAATTCAGATCTTCTTCACTGGCAAATGCTCCACACGGATGTCATAAAACTTCAGCATCTGCTGCGATGCTTGGACAAAAAAAACTAAGGCAGAGTCTTCAGCACACTCACAAAGGCACTCCTACAGAGTCTTAACAGCTTCTCTGCACTTGGTGCTTCCTAGTGCGCCTTCACGTCCCAAAACAACAGTGGCAAGCAAGCTGAAGCGCATGCTCTTCATGCTTCTCGAAACTTCAGGAAACACTTCTAAACATAAAAATCGTAAGGTAAAACTTCGGAAACTCAACACTTTGGCACTCTAACACTTCAAGGTTCCACAGTGATCCGCAAGATTGCACATGGTCCTCACCACAGACTGGAGCTTCCGATCTGGTACTCCGTGATTCCTTGCTTCCTTGAAAACTTCCAAAGAGCCTCGTAGCGTGGGTCCCCTTCTTTGTTCCGTCGTCAGAAGCAGTTACAGTCAAAACGTGTACTTTCGGGAACTCTCCAGCACAGACCCGACAACAGTGAAGCGCAAAACTCATTCTTACCCAACCCTTCCTTGCGGTGTTTCCAGGAAAAGAGATGTGACGAAGTGTTGTCCGCCGGTGTGTTGGGTTCTTT